GAAAGACAGAAGAGTTGAGAGTGGAATCTCTAAGTCAAGCAAGCCAGGAAAGGGGTTTTATTGCCTAAGCAACAGTTCTAACAACCTAAGTGAACCAAGCAGCAACAAGGTGAAAGCAAAAGCAAACTAAGCAATTCTAAGCAAGAAAAACAGAGCAAAACAGAGCAAATCCGAGATTTAAATTAGAGAAAGACAAGTTCCTAGATGTGGTTATTGACTTTCGGGAATTTCATGCATTGAATAAGGCTGTTTCAAACTACATTGATCAAGCAAATAAGCAAGCAATGGTGGTTCCTAGACATAGAGTTCACAACTAAGCTAGTTAGATCCAATCTCTTGGCAAATAACCCTTTGCTAAACATCTTAACAAGAACTAACTCTCATTAGTGCTAAAACATCAAGCAAGCAAGACTAATTAATTCTATTCAAGTCAAAATGCTCCTCAAACAGTCAATCTCTTGAGCCAAGGCCAGCAAATCCTCTACTAAACAGGTTCAGCATTTCATCAAACACTTGGTGGGCATAAGAGAAAGCTAACAACCTAGACCAGTTTGATCAAGACTAATCTAGCATGAATCACAGATTAATAGAGAGGAACCCATAAACAGAAGCACATAACAAGCCATAGATTCCCCTAATCTACCACATCTAGAAACCCTAAAGTAACTACTCACTCATAATCATGTTTAACACCAAACCACAAAGGGAGAAGATGCTAATCATGATTAAAAGAAAGATTAAAGAAAGATTAAAGCAAATACTTGATTGTATTAAACAAAGCAAAAAAATTGTCTTACAAACTTAAAGAAATAGCTTAAGAACAGTATTTTGACATGACCTCCCGAAAATATAGAAAAATGGGCTATTTATAGCCTAAGGGAGAAAACCCTAGAAAGGTGGCAAAAGTGTAATTAAAAACAGGTTCGGGCTGGGTCAGTATCAGTCAGTTGTGTCGACTTCTAGTGACCGAAATTTATCTGTATCGGTCATCAGTGATCGACACACATGACCGAAATTATAACGGTGTGTTTGTGTCGACCACATCAGACCGATACTGGTGATCGATACTGCTCCATTTCGGTCACCAGAGACCGAAAATTCCAGGCTCTGACCGAAAACTTCTGCAGAGATCTTCTGCTTTGATCCTTCTTGCTCCCTTTTGTCCAGCTAGCCTCCTGGATCATTTCCAAAGCTCCTCCAAGCTCCTTTAAGCTCCAAAAGCACCTAAAAACATCCAATATGCAAGGAAAATGCAATCTAAACTCCTAATGCAACCTAAGTCTAAAAGGAGAAGAAAATGGGATAAAAGCTAAGGGAAAATATGCAAAAGAGGACCAAAACATGTACTAAATGCAGCCCTAAATGGTGTAAATACAAGGGATATCAACCCTGAAGAGACGAAAGAACTTGAGAAGCAAGTCAAAGAGCTGATGGATAAGGGTTACATTCGAGAGAGCCTCAGACCATGCGCTGTACCGGTGTTGCTAGTGCCAAAGAAAAACGGTACATGGCAGATGTGTGTGGACTGCCGCGCCATCAACAACATCACCATAAAGTACCGCCACCCATCCCACGTTTAGATGATATGCTTGACGAATTGAGTGGTGCAACAATGTTTTCAAAGGTGGATTTACGAAGTGGCTACCATCAAGTGCGAATGAGAGAAGGCGATGAGTGGAAAACCACTTTCAAAACTAAGCAGGACATGTACGAGTGGTTAGTCATGCCTTTTGGCTTAACCAACGCTCCTAGAAATTTCATGCGCCTCATGAACCAGGTTCTAAGATCATTCATTGGTAGATTCGTAGTAGTTTACTTTGATGACATATTAATATATAGCAAGAGCTTCACAGATCATATCATGCATTTAGAGCTTGTTTTGAAAACACTTCGAAAGGAAGGTCTATATGCCAACCTTAAGAAGTGATCCTTTTGTACTGATAAGCTTGTGTTCTTAGGTTTTGTAGTAAGTGAGCAGGATTTACAAGTAGACGATGAGAAGATAAAAGCCATTCCAGAATGGCCCACGCCCTCCACCATCAACCATTTTAGAAGCTTTCATGGTTTAACCTCATTCTACCGCTGGTTTGTCAAAGATTTTAGCACCGTAGCTGCCCCACTTACCGCTGTTATCAAGAAGAACGTACCATTCTCACGGGAAGAGCCACAAAAATCTGCATTCAATGACCTTAAGGAGCGATTGACCCGAGCCCCCGTACTAGCCTTGCCTGACTTTGAGGTTATGTTTGAGGTTGAGTGTGATGCATCTGGAGTTGGCATAGGAGCGGTACTACATCCGAAAGGGAGGCCCGTGGCATTTTTTAGTGATAAGCTAAGTGGAGCCACGCTCAACTATCCCACGTATGACAAAGAGTTGTATGCTCTAGTCCGAGCTCTAGAGACATGGCAACACTATCTACTCTCAAAGGAGTTTGTCATTCATACTGACCACGAGATGTTGAAGCACTTGAGAGGGCAGACATCATTGAAGAGAAGGCACGCAAAGTGGTTGGAATTCATTGAGATGTTTCTATACGTCATCAAATACAAGAAAGGCAAGGAAAACATATTAGCCGATGCACTCTCAAGGAGACATGCGCTGATATCCACAATGGAGGCCAAGGTTCTCGAATTTGAGCATATCAAAGGCTTATATGGAGAATACCCTGATTTCAGTGAGAGCTACAAGGAGTGTATCAACGGGCCTCACAGAGCATTATATATTCATGATGGTTTCTTATTCCGTGACAAGCGATTGTGTATTCCACAAGGATCAATGAGAGAGTTACTACTAAGGGAGGCACATAGCGGCGGCCTCATGGGACATTTTGGCGTGGACAAGACGCTAGCCGTGATGATGGATCATTTCTTTTGGCCACACTTGAAGAAAGATGTAGAGAAGATGTGTTCTCGATGTGTTACATGCCGTAAAGCCAAGTCCAGGTCCCATCCCTACGGTCTTTATACTCCTTTACCTATACCTAACGCCCCTTGAGTAGATATTTCTATGGATTTTGTCCTAGGTTTACCGAAGATTAGGCACAAGGACTCGATCATTGTAGTGGTAGACAGGTTTTCCAAGATGGCTCATTTCATACCATGCGCCAAAACAAACGATGCCACTCAAACCGCTGATCTCTTTTCAAAGAAGTGGTGCATTTACATGGAGTTCCCCGTACCATTGTCTCTGATAGAGACACAAAGTGTCTCAGCCATTTCTGGAAGACATTATGGAAAAAGATGGGTACTAAACTGTTCTTCTCAACCACTTGTCATCCCCAAACCGATGGCCAAACCGAGGCGGTAAACCGTACACTCTCTACTTTACTTAGAGCTACTCTTGGCAAGAATATGAAAACTTGGTTAGATTGCATCCTTTTATAGAATTTGCTTATAACCATGCTACTCACTCTGCCTCTAAGTTATCACCTTTTGAGGTTGTGTACAGAAACAATCCTTTAACGCCAATGGATCTTACACCGCTTCCACAAGCTGAACAAGTCAGCTTAGAAGGGCGTACACGAGGCGAGTATGTCAAGAAGATACATCAGCGAGCTCGGGACAACATTGCTAAGAAGACCGAAGAGTACAAGAGAAACAAAGATAAAGGGAGAAAAGAGATGGTGTTTCAACCCGGAGAGTGGGTATGGCTTCATATGAGGCCGAAGCGTTTCCCCCATAAGCGGAGTTCCAAGCTAGCACCAAGAGGCGATGGCCCCTTCAGGATCAAAGAGAAGCTCAATGACAATGCCTATACACTAGAATTACCAGGTGAGTTCAACATGTCTCAAAGTTTCAATGTTGCTGATTTATCCCCTTTTGATGTAGGTAAAATGGTTTTGAGGACAAAACCTTGTCAAGAGGGAGGGAATGGTACAAGCACCGTACCAGATAGAGACCAACAAGACGTACCCACAATGAGAGAAGGACCGATGACACGTTCAAAGGAGAAAGCCTTGAGGGACAAGTTTAACTTAGCCGTGGAACAAATCATGCACACACATACCGCGATCGAGGACATTACAAGGACGGACGAGAACATTACGAGCTGGTACGATGACCTTACAGGACGGGACAATGACGTGACGAACCGACCCATACGACGGTCGAAGGCATTACCACGCGGGACGACCACATTACCGACCTAACCCGTACCACAGATAAGAGCATTGTGGGACGTCTGACCAAAGAACATCAAGAGATAAAGACTTAGACGACTTTCAAGGCATTCACGACCCACCTAAGTTCAAGAAAGACCCAAGCTCCAACGAATGGCCACTTCTCAAAAACAGAACCGGCCCAAATTTGTTCATCATCAACCCCCTCCAAAACGGCGACACTTAGATGTTTGGCGATCAAGAAAACTTACCATTTTTACATCATGGATCAAGAGGCAATGGTAAGTTTGTCAATAACTTCAATATATTCGTGTTTTCCTTTCTTTTGCAGGGAATAAACATTAGATTCTTTTGTTACTTTTCCCATTTAAACCGATGTAATCTTTAGTTTATTTTCTTGTATTTTTGGTTTTATTTTTGCTTTTATTTTAGACCCTAGAAGCTCAAGGTCGAATAGCTATTAATAAAGCTCCACTGCGATAATGTAGTTCACAACTTTTTACTTGATATCAATAAAATCGGCAGTTCTTCTTCAAGTTAAAGTCTTGAATTTTTGCTTGTTCCTTTGCGTGTGTGATTCACCAAAGTCACAAGTGTTTTAGCTGTTTCAGAGATCATTCCATACTCTTTGTGGTGCCAACGATTCCCCCATCAATCCCCATTTATTGAATCAATATGAGAGAGTCTAAGGCCAGCACGTTCATTCCCATCCCATAAGATCCGGACATCCGAGTCTTATACCACACTTCCTCCTGCTTTTTCCGTCGGCCAGCTACCATGACCCCTACAGTATTCCCCGTGTTTCAGCTTATGCCCGTTGACATCGAGAACCCTTTGAATCCCTTGTGTGGTTCTGCCATAATGCCTCCGAATCTCTCTTGGCTAAGTATGCCTTGTTGACATCCTAAACTCCACCGTGTTCTCCCCGCCATGCCTAGTCCTATTGCCCCCATTAATAGTCTCTCTTTTCTCCTCCCGATGAGTCATCACCTTCCCCTTCCCATTTACCAAATCCGTATGATTGGTTTTTAAAGTAGCCTGACCATCATTGACACCACCTGAATGGCCGAAAGCCCTTTTATAAATCTTTGCTTCACCACTTAGTATCTCTGCTTTGTGTCTGAACTCCTCTCGTTGTTTCCTCTTCGGATACAGACGTGGGAATTTTTCTGTCTCGTGGCATAATCTAAAGCATTCACGACAAAAGCCATGAAGTCTTTCATAGCGGAGTATGACTGTTGTTTCATCGCTACTGTAAAAAGCCACTGAGAATTCGAAGATCAATTCTTTAAACCCATCATAATTATCTGAACTCGACCCCTATACAAATCCACCTCTTGGACATCTCTGATGGCCTGCCCTATACTTCTGAAGGTCGTTTCTGCCTAGAAATGCAGTGGAACCCACATAATTCGTACCAAAAAAGTTAAAGCCGATGGGTAATTGGGATCCATTATCACCACCATCCACCCATCAAAATGAAAGAGTTCCATTTGCAGCACCGCCTTGATGTTCTCCTCCTCATCGAAGTCAAATTGGAACCTCCCCGTTCCGAGGTCCGCACCAGCAACTCTGTCTTCAACTTTCCAAATCCGTGGTAGTATAAGAAACAGAGACCCTATATCTTGAACCCCGAGATTTATACACCGTCCAATAAGGGTGCGGGAGTACACATTAATGAACTCTGTATTGTTAAATTTTAAAATCGTTATCTTCAACCGAGGAGCCAGACTCTCTTTGACTTTGATGTTTCCACCCACAACCACAAGATCTGAGAAACTGTAAAGCACAGTAAATTGTGAGGGTGATGCAAAGAGATAGCTATGTGTATATGAATTAACTCTTTTGTTCCTCCCTCCCTTTATATGCCAAACCATACCCAAACTTTTTTCCAAAATTGTTACCAAAGACTATTCTACTAATTGCATAATCATAGTTACCTCATTATTGTGATCCATTTGTGATTCAATCAAAGAGTATCGGTATACCTGATTGAGTTTTGGAAATTCTGAAGTCACATTAAGATCAATGTCCAAAATACTCCCAAATGATCTTATTAGGAAAATGCAGATTGCTACTCCGAACCATTTAATCTGCAATTACCGTTCCCATTTTACCGTAATTCCAGATCCTCCTTAATGTTTTGGCGTTATCTGAACCCCAATTATTCCTCTTTCCAAAATATATCCCATAAACTTTTTAAGGATTTTTTTGGTTTTTAGGTTATAGAAAGTAAATTTCATTCAGATTTTCTTACTTTATTAGTTTAGTTTTATTTGACTTTGGAAAAAGATTTATCATACAAAAAATAAAAAATAAATAATTATTGTTTGGTTCTAAACAATAATTTTAAAAATGTACTTAATATTAATTAAAATTATAATTTTTAATAGATTTTAGCATGGTTTTTATTAATTAGTAATTTTAGTTTTAGTGAATTTTGTTAATGGGTTCAGTTTTATAAAGTTTGGGTTCAATTAAGTTAATTCAGTTTACAAATTTTTATTTATTTCAGATTATTCTATAATTTTTCTTTGGTTCGGATTTACGAATTTTGAGGTGGGTTCAGAAATTTTGTCCTATCCTACTTGGATTATGAACGGTGATAGTCAAAATGCTAAAAATATTTTAATATATTAAAAATAATTAAGTTTGATGAAAATTTTAAATATTATATAAAATAATTTGGTCAAAAATTAAAATAATATTTTATTAAGATATTATATTATAATTTGATCAAATTTTATTAATATTATAAAATATTTTTATTGCATCAAAATGTTAGAAATTTATAAATATTGATTTAGCTTTATATTATTTTATATAATTGATCAGCAATGTTAAACTTAAAAATATATAATCTATGTATATCTATATATCTTCTATGTATATTTATTATATTATTTTCAAAAGTCTATATGGAAATGCCAAAGTCTATATGGAAATTTATCTTCAAAAATCTGTATGTAATTGCAAAATACCCCTCAAACTAAAACATTTTCACTGGAGACTATCCTCGAGATCCCTAGCTACAGGAGACAATCTACGCAGATGGCACATACACCGATCCACTATTTGCTAACAGTGCTGGCTGGAAGACGAAACCGAACAACATTTGTTTTTCACATGCCCAAATGTCCAATCAATATGGAGAGTTGTTGGTTTCCAACCACCACAGATAACAGATGCAACAATAACAATAGCCACGCAACTAAAACTTTGCTTGCTCATTAGTCCTAATCATTGGTCACATTTTCATGAGCTACCAATCTGGCTACTCTGGCGCATATAGAAGAGTCAGAATTTGTTTCTATTTCAACATAATTCTATACCATGACAACAGACTATCCAATACACATGAAGTAATTATAAAGAATGGCGGGATATGGAGGACCATTTCAATATTGTACGAGACACAAGCATGTCCAGGACTCAAGACGCTATATACATGCAACATCAAAGTAGGCCTAACTCAAATTGACAAGGTCATAAACAGAAACGAAAGCGACCAGAGAGCACTTGGCTCAAATGTAATTATGATGGATCATTTTTAATGCACAAACGGAAGCACAAGCTGGATGGGTGCTACGTGATAACAAAGGAATTTTCAAGGTGCAGGACAATCTAGAAGGAAACAACCCCTTTCTGCTTTTGAAGGAGAATTACAAGCCTTATTTATGGCTATGCAACACTGCTGGAGTAAAGGATACACGAGGACTATATTTGAAGGAGGTTATCAGAAAGTTATGGATGTTATTGCTGGAAAGGTGATGAATTTTACATCTCACAACTGGATACACGATATATGATGGTGGGCATAACAATTTGCAGAAGTCAAATTTTAATGGGTGTAAAGAGAATCGAACACAGCAGCGGATATCTTATCAAAATCTCGTATTCCAAAAGGAAACAGTTTTCATTTTCATAATAAGTTACCTTTATGCATTCATGATGTATATCATCACGACAACGTATTCTTGTCTACTGGTAAATAAGATTAATCGAGACAATTACATCTTGTTCCATATCTTTCTCCTGTTATTCTATAGACCACGCAAGGGCATGATGATAAATATTTAACATATATCTCAAGAACAAGAAATTTATAATGCTTAGGATGATGCAAAAGCATTAGGAGCGTAAGTTTGAGTTTAAGTCTCTCTGGTCAAACAGGTCAAGAGTGGTATTAGGTTGTGTTGATGATAAATGCACTTCCAGATTGTGTGCAACAGTTCTCCCTCATTTCGATTTCTTTGTGGTGAAAGAGTATGCTAATGAACACACTTGTGATATAGTGCATAGAATCGCCAACCATAGGTAAGCAACTACGAAAATGCTTGGATCTCTAATATGCAACAGATATTGATCTAGTCAGGATGACACATGGTGTACAAATCAAGTACAAGAAGGCTAGTAAAACCAAATAACATGCTCATAACTTAGTTAGAAAAACTCCTGAGGATGCATGGTTAAAGATATAATTCTAGGATCAATGTGTTTCCTAGAGATAAATCCTGATGGAAAGTTCCAATATAGTATTGTTCTGATTGGGCAGTCATTGAATGTTTTGATTGCTGTAGATGGTATATTCCTCAAATGCAAGCTCGAAAGAACTCTTCTAGAGCTTATGCGCAGACTTCTACCTCTATCCTTTAGCTTTTATGATTTCAGATTCTAAAAATGAAGATTCGTGGACATGGTTTTTCAGATGATTGAAGACTGTAATCCGTCATGCCGAAGACTTATTATGATTTTTTTTTACTCCAATCGCAAAATCTCTCTCAATGATATATCCTCTTGCACATCATGGTATTTGTAGAGTTCATCTCTTGAGCAATATCAAATCCAATTTAGGATGAAAGGTCTTATCCTGATTGTAGAAGTTGATGCTAATGCTTACACTAGATTCAATTTTAATGAGTTTTTACTGATTTGAAGAGTAGGAACCCAAGCCTTGCTACTTATTTGGAGGATGCAGATTTTTCAAAATGGTCTAAATCTCACGCATCTACTAATAAATAGAACATCATGACCACAAACATAGCTGAGTCCCTGAATTATATGTTAATTACTCTAAGCGAATTACATATTATATCTTTAGTTAAGACTATAAGACTTACCTTTACCACCTGGTTGCACGAGCGAAGAGAAAAGGTTGCTAGGCTTGAGAAGTATGCTACAAAGAATATAACAGATAAGATTACTAAAAGGTATGATGAAGCAATGGTTCTTTATTTGTACACGTTGATGAGTATGAGTTTGAGGTCAAGGACGACTCCCACAAGTTTGTAGTCCATTTGACAAACAAGCATTGCACTTGCAACATTATTGACATAGACATGATCCTCTGTATGCACGCTATAGCTGCTGCTGAACGCACAAGGTAGGATGAACACAAGCTTGTGGATGATTTTTACACAAAAAAACATGAACTAAAGCTTATGCTGAAAGAAACATGCGCTAAAGCTTATGTGAAGAACATACATCCTTGTGGTGATCTATCAACATGTTCTCTCCTTAATAGTACTTTTGATTATCTTTGTTGTCTACCAACCACCAAGTAAAGTAGTGGAAGGCCTCCCAAGAACAAGAAGAGTGCTGCTGGAGAATTTGGGATGCCTATAGCTCAAAGTCTCAAAGACACAAGTGCAGAAGATGTGGCACAAGAAAACATAACAAGAGCATATGCAGGAATAAAATATGTTAAACTTGGATTCTGGTAGTGCATAAAACAAAACAAGACATTCAATTATTCAACATTGTTTTCTGGAATATATCTAGACGTTTAAGAATTTTTTTATATATTTTGGGAATGTATTTCTATCTTATACTATCTCGAAGATATCCATGCGTTTTAGGAATACTTTCACATCATTTGGGAATGCTTTCCTAACTTTTATTTACCAGTTACGTAATATGGCCCAGCGGCTACAGTCTACGCCACTAAAATTTTTTATTTTTGATCCGTTTCTATGATATCTTCCCCAAACTGATGGAAAAACTTCCAAAATTAATGGAACATCTTCATAACACTCCGAAGTGGCAAATCAGGTACTGGCAATCCGCAGGAGGATCCCATGCCCCGTTCACCCATTCTCTATGAACCCTTACGTCCTTGGTACAAAACTGAAGGGTTTTTTTGGTATGATACATGTGGATAGAAACTTTTTTTACCCTCGTAAAGTGCCTTCACAAACTCCCTGCACCATTGGTCTATGTTGAATGCATCAATGTCTTTCGTCGAATTTAAAATGCAGGTGCAAAGTTTTAACTGAGGTAATGGAGGTACTCTAGGATAGAGGTGCAACTCTCTGAAAGATTTTACTTGTTTACTTTCTTTGTTACTTCACCATATCGAGTACTCCAAATAAAACAACTACATATATATATATTTCTTTTTGTTTCACCGTAGCAGGGTACTAGTTGCCATCTAGGCCAGATATCTCGACAGTAGCCAATTCTATTGGAGCACATGTGCATTATCTCCCTGAAAGTACAACATTTGTGTTAGCAACGTTTAACAAAGTTTTAGAATTACCTTTCTAAAATATTAAAATACGAAAGAAACTAGAAATCTTACAGCAGTTAGCTTCTACGTATGGGTCCCCTTAGCTGTCTCATCTTTGTCCATCTGCTCTTGGGATATCTCTTGTGTTTGGATCCACTCAGGTTTCTCATGTGTGTCTATCTTCTCTTCGGTTATCTTTTGTGTTTGGGTCCCATCAGCTGTCTCATTTTTTTTTCATCTGCAAAACATTATATTGTAAATTAGCCAGGAAGTGTTTATTAATTGTACAAAAAAGTTTTTAGGAAGTGTTTTCTTACCTCACCATTTTGATATTCTTGTCGTGCTTCCTTATTTGCGCTTATGACTGTTCTGATTATCTGGAAAAAAGTTTTATATATGTAAGTAAAAACCAGGAACCATACTTCACTAGGCGATATACTTGTAAGAGAAAACCAGAAACCATACGTCATTTAACTTTTGTGTGTGTCTCAGCATGTGGTTTGGTTATTCTGGTGTGTGTCTCATCCACATAACTTAACACATGTGTTGTTGCGTCTCTATTTATACAAAGTTTTTCATCTGATCCATTGCGTCGACAACCTCTGGTGTTGTCACATCAGATGTATCCTCTTCCTCTCTTTGGTCTACATCTTGTGTTGTGTTTCCTCCATGCACAAATGTTTTACCAGGTTTTCTGAATCTCTTGATCCTTGCCTACTAAAAAAATGGCGTGATGGAAAGATATTACTATCAGAGATAAGCTCCTTCAACAAAAAAACGAAATAACTAGATGTTAGGAACTTTTTTCTAAACCATATCTAATATAATGGAAAAATATAAGTCTTCTATAAACTTATTTTTTTACCTCATCATTTGTATTTGTAGGATTATATATTTCCAGCTTTTCCTCGATCTTTGATAATCGAGCAATGATATTTTTCTGTCCATCTCCAATCATCTTAATAAGTTTACTCAGCTTCGTGTCAAATGACTTTCCTGAAGAAGAAGGGTCCTCCTATCTCTAGACCCGAATTAGTTTGTCTATGTCTTTGTGAATTAGGATAGCGAAATGACTGTGATGCAATGTCTTGCACCGCATCGTTTCTATCAAAAATCCCACTTATCCAACGCTCGTATGTCATCCTAAATTCCTTCTTCAATAGAACCAATAGTGAATGCAGATCTTGATCATTATTGTCTTCCAAAAAGATGGTGTCTTCAAGATCACCAGGTACCTTAGGCAGGATGGGTACCAAAGTCAGCTGCACAATAGTGGGACAATCAAAGACATGTTAATTTATCATCATCGAAACACTAAGGAGATGTTTCTGAATTATTACTTCTTCCCGAAAATCTATTATAGAACATAAGTAAACTGAAGGAAGATACTTATATTGTATTTCCCTTGTATGCTCAAATATTGTTAATATTGGGAGATTATGCGCGAAGTTATTTGATATATCATGGTATTTATGGTTTTTAACCATGATATAAGTCCTTTTTATTGAGTCTTTTTGGTATTTTTAGAGTCCTATTAGAGTTTTTACAGGTTAATGCGTGTTTGGAGCATAATTGGAGATTATAGAGCATTCTGGAGCAAAGCATGAGTTCTTCCCGACTAGAGCAACAAGGAGACGTGTGATGCCTTTGGTGACGATCGTCACCACTGAATGGGTGATGCTCCTCACCCACATCTGAGGAAAAATCGTGAGTTTATTAAAAGATGGAAGAAAAATTACAGATTTTGCCCAGAAGTTTTATTAATTGCAAAAGTGTCCCAATTTGTTTTGGTCTGTATTTTAGGTTTTTCAGTCACTTTTTTGGTTGGTATCTGATTTTCTGGAGATAGAAAGAGAGAGATTTGTACCAGAGCTTTTGGGGAGACAATTTTGAGTCTCTGTTTCTTGTTAGAGAAGAATTCGAACCCCTTTTATCTCCATACTTATTTCTTTTATGCAATCTATTTTATTCATGATGTTTTCTCAATTCACCATGTCTGAGTAGTTTGTTAGTTAGGTTAGGATAATTTAAAGGTTTATGATGAGTTTGTAGATTTATTTTACTGTCAGGAATAATCCATTGGTTCTTCATCTTGATTTGTGCATATCTCGATTCTAGGATTAGTCATCCAGAAATCGCATTCTAGGTTGTTTAATAGATGTGAGAGTATTGTTAATCACCAGAACTAGTCTTTAATGAGCAAAATTACTATCTGCAAAGAGATTTGATTTAGGAATTTTGTGAACAATCGAACCTGATCGCTAATGCTTGTTTGAATTATTAGAATTTGCAAAGAGATTTGGAATTCTGGAATTCAGGCATAGATAACTTCTGCAACGAAAGTTGATTGGTTTTAAATCATTGTTTTGAGTTCTAGAAAATTTTAATAATATCATGAGAGTTTACATTCTGCATTCTCGGATTCAACCTGCGAATTATCCTGGCCTAGCATTTTAGTCTCTTGAATCTTAAGAACATCCATTAACTGCTTGCTTCGTTTTAATTTAGTTGTTTCGATTTACATTCATCTGATTTGACTTAGCATAATTTGAATCCAAAATTTGTAGTGTAGTAGCTTACTCCATTGGGATTCGATAACCCTTCGTGCTATAACTGCATTGCTGTGCACTTGCAGTAGTATTATAAATTGGGTAAAACTAGACCTTGATCAGTATTTTAACACAAAAGCTATGGTTGGGACTATCTTTTCAATAGTAGAGAAGGCCGATTGAAGCATGGGTATGGATTCCAAGATCCATATGTGAAGGGCAACAGGGAACCCATTATTAAAGTACTTCTTATTTTCCAAACTACTCACCACAATCTTCTTTAGTGATTGTAAGAGAAACTCAGATGCGTCTTTGCCCCGAAGATGATTTATTAATACATTGATATCTTACGTTTTCTTTAAATCTGATGTTGGAAACCTAAATTTTGAGTACCTTTAAAGAAATATGGTTTCAATAAGCAGTAACATTCCTAAAGAGGACTTATCACTATGAGCATTTCAATCAGTATTGATCATGAGGTCAACTAGATCGCCTGGTATATCACCATCCTTACATTCACCCCAAGCATACTAGTTTTTCTCTACTTCACCTTCTGGAACCCATACATCTCATTTCAAGCTTGTCACTATATGAAATTCTTTTATCGAGAACCTCATAGGCTGTCCACTGAAGTGGAACCATAGCTCATTTTATTTCTTAGTTATCAGATTCTTTGTTAGAAGGGTTTGGATCATTTTGTCTAACATTGCCAACTTCCTTGAACTTCAAAACAAGACACAAAAAAGAATTATGAATCCTCCTAAACGGCTTGATAACACTCATATTTTACCCCTTTTACTATCAATAGTGGATACTTATTCAAACATTTCACTTAGGTTTCCATGCATAAACACTAGAATTCGAGTACTTGTATGGCCAAGACTCATTTCAGGAAAACAAAGAAAAAAAGATACAAAATGGAGCAAAACGGAAGATTCCTGAAATCAGTGCAAGATGACACAAGTTCAGACCCGAAATGAAGACTTTCCCACCACTAGATGAAGCTATATATTGGTGACAAGATCGGCTTACCAACAATCTTTCACGCCGAAATGTTTTGAAGACAATCCCATTGTTGGATCTCAAGTTACAAGGCAAGAAAAAATGTCCGTCAAACAGCATAATGTGAATTGTAGCCGCGTCAAGCAAGGCCTACCCCCGCACCACGGATATTTGGTCAAAGGGAAGCTTTAAAAAGATGTTTTCCAAGCCCATTTGCAGCTTAACTGATTTCCCGAGCCGTCAAATGAAAGTGTGAAGTAAAGAGGACGACCTAGAACTATAAATACTTAGCTTTAGGGTTTTGCAAACATGTAACTTCATTAGGAACAAAATTTAATAAAGTTTTAAGCAGCTGAAACAAGATGTTTTTGGTCCTAAACCAAATATCCTTAGCCTCTAATCAGTTGTAGAACAGGGATCATGTATCAATTTATTTGTGGAAGATGAGATGCAAACAATGCCATAAGCTAAGTAATGATGGGGTTTTGGTTGAACAAGGACAACTCTAACAACCTAACAATGCAATGGAAAGAAAACAGAAACTAAATGCAAGTAAATAGAACTAAGCAATGAACTTAAAGCAATGTCTAAGCAGGAATTAAGCAGGAATGATAACTAAAGCAAGGTCAAGGTTCTAAGCAATTGTGGGATAGTGGTTTTCAAG